TTATTATGCTACCATATCAGTGGCACAATGTCATTAAAATTACATAATTACTACTAATTATCACATAATAGCTATCAAAAATATCCTCTGATGGTTGGCAGTATGGCTGTGAGGGGGTTTCTTGGACTGTATTTGGTTTTGGAGGCTTACATAATACAGTGGCTTATGAATGTATAAAGATTATAATCAGCAAGCCCTGTAACAGGTACTAGGTTGTAGCAGTTTTTAATGTTTTAGAATAATATAATAATAAAATAATATATACTGGATCTTCCTATTATTTTTGGTGTTCTCATTATCTTTAATTGCTGGGATGTGCAGGTTATGTGCCATAACCTCAGAAACAACGATGACCATACACCATAGCAACAAGCAGCAAATCAGTGTGTTCAGTAAGTTTTATATTTTCCTCTCCTGTTTATGAAGGTGACTACTCTGGTGAACACCAGCAACAAAGGGCCATCCAGTAAGAAGAAGGGACGCTCTAAGAAGGCCCACGTCCTGGCAGTGTCTGTTGAGCAGGCTACCCAGAACTTTCTCGAAAAGGGAGAGCAGATTGCCAAAGACAGCCAGGACCTCAAGGAGGAGCTTATTGCTGCTGTGGAGGATGTTCGTAAGCAAGGTAAGCCCGACTGTTTGTGCTTTCATTTTTGTTTTTAAATTGTGACTGGTCAGATAACAAGATTGTTAGTGTCTGTAATTCCTTATGCTTATTCTCTGTTAGACATCTAGTAAATTTTTCTAGATCATCAATTTCTAGAACATCAGTTATTGTCTTTAACCTCCTAGGACCTGACATCCACATATGTGGACATCACATTTTGGGTTATTTAGACCAAAATATTCAATTTTGCTCTACAAGGGCCTGATATCCACTTACGAGGACATTATACTGCTACTGTTCTATCGAAATTTTAAATGAATATCCTCATATGTGGCTCTTATTTTTCCTAAAAACAAAAGTAAGGTAAAAAAAAATCTGGTAATTCTTTGTTTTTACATTATCATATCAAAGAGAAATTAAAGAAATTAAAAATGCATGCGGTGGAAGAGTTCGGGTCTTAGGAGGTTAAAATATTTTTTCTTCAAAACACTTTAAAAGACATTAAAAAAAGTTCCTTTATTTCCAAGCATCCAGTTTGCATATATTTATAATGGAATGGAGACTGGGTTGTTAACCTGTTTATTCTCTGTAACATATGAAATCAAAATCTCTGAAATCAAAATACTTTCATTTAGATATGTTTAATTGAGCATCTGTACAGACCAAATCTGTCCAGGTTGCAGCTACACATGACACTACTACAGATGAACAGTGAGGAAGTGTGAGATGCATGTGGAATTCAGAGTGTAGTCACATTAATGTTACTGATATGTAGTTGACAAAATAATTCCAATAATCAAAAGTAGTTCTGTATGGGCTATTTAAGGTCTCACTCACACAGGACTATAGACCAGTTGGCAACCACCTGGCAACCTTTAGTTGGTGGGGAAAAATGTGTATTCCTCGACTGAATGATTAATGGAGATTGCTTCCTGCTGCTGGGTGAAATCAGTTGCAAGAATGGTGCTACACCCCAAACCTACTTACGATTACTTTGCCTACTAGCAGGAAATCACAAGATTGAGAAACCAAATGCAGAAATAAAATGAAGGAAGACTCAATAAACAGTCTAGTAATGAAATCCATAAACAAAATAACATAAATGCAGAGGCAGGAGTAACACGAGGAAGCACACTGGGAGTTTAAACACACAATGTGACAAAGAGAAGACAGCACTATTTATGCAAGCACAGACACACAGGGATAGTAAGGCAAATGAGAAACACTTGGATAGCAAGACAACGAGACAGCAGAAGTCAAACTAGACATGACACGCTCAAGACTATCTGCTATCAAAATAAATCAGGAAATCACAGACTTGCATACTCAAACTTGAGATAGAAAGACACATCGGGGAAGGCTAGAAAAATAACAGAAAATAACAAAATCACAGATGATCGCAGTATCTGGAATAACCATTAAGTCACCACAAAAATGGTGTCGGGAAATGGCTTATGCTAAGACACTGTATTAATGTACAACACCCATGTTCACTACTATTATGACTGAAATAAGGACCCCTACTGACTTCTCTTGTTGTGTAAGTATTAGTATTCTAGATGAATAGGGAGCGTAATTGACATAAATGTAATGTTTTGGGAAAGTATTAAGTGTTTTGAATGTCATAGCAAGTCAGCTGTCTGCTCAACTTTAGATGAACAGAGAGTTAAAAGTGGCAAGCCAAATCCATTAAATATAGCAGATTAGTACCCATTAGATTTAGGCTTCACTTGCAGTGCGTGCAGCCTCACGAATGTAATGAGTCTAGTTCTGGAGTTGTTTACCCTAAAGTCATGCATCGTTAAAGCTTCGACTGTCTGTAATGTTGAGGGACCTTGCTGAATTTAAGGGTATTATAGATGCCCATTCTCATTAACGATTTGAAACTTAGTCGCTGAAACATCTGCATGGATGCAGCGCCTCACTCGAACAACAAATCATACTCTACTTTCTGGTGGCTTACACAGATGGAGCAATGTCACAGTACTTTGTAGTTCTCCGAAGTTTATTTTCTGTGCGGAGTGCGAGTCAGTGAGCCTTTATGTGAATCAAATGTTTGTCCCCAGAATGGAATTGGATTCCCTGTTCAGAAACCACATCAGCAGAAAGAGCAAATGGAGCTCAGCATATGTTGTGTTGTAGCCGTATTCCTCATCCTGCTCTGTCAGCGCATACTTGGCTGCAGGTACTGTTGAATATTGACTTGACTGCTTTGGCACACCGCTCTTCTGAGGTGTGAAATAGACTGTTACCATACAGGTCATCACCACAGCTGACATCAGAAGGTTCAAGATTAATCTTCTCGCTTGTTAGGCATGCAAAGCGAAGTGACAAGGTGTGTTAAAAAATATTCTTGGACATTTAAAAAATGTAGGACATGCTTTCAACTAACACTGCAGCATTTTTGTGTGCAAATGGCCATATTTATACTGAAGCAAATGAATTTACAGTCCTTTCTGACTCTTTAGAAAATATGTCCCTGAAAAAAATATTAGACTAAAATACTTACTTCCTGACTTTAAGAAAATAATAGGACGTCAGTACTAATACCACACATATTTAGTAGGTTGTATATAAGTACTGTACATACCAGGTCATCAGGGAGAACAGTTCATATTAATAATGTTAAACTTAACATTATTAAGCATGAGGATATGCTATGTTGTCTGTATCCCACAGACTAAAAAATAATAGCGCAGTTTAAGTGATCTTTAGCAGCTGCTGGAAGCGTGCCCCTTTGAAAGGAATTGTCTGCCTAGTTAAAGTCATTGTGAATTATAAAATGGTTTTAAATCTGTCATCGCCTCATCAGGCCTCTCTCAATGTGACCTCAGGGTCCCAGTCCCCTTCATCTTGTCATAAATTAAATTAGAGATGCTGATTTCAGACCATGGAGGGGTTCAGTAATACGCTTTTCTCTGTCACTCTTCACTGGGCCAGACAGACGTATGGCACTACCAGTATCATCATGAGTTCATTTGCAGTTCTGTGTGTGTGTCCCTGTGTGTGTGTTTAGTTGAACACATGCTGCGCATGTTTGTGTTTAACATGCTGAGTTCTGTTTATCTGATTATGAGGTTATCACTCTGGCATAACATAAACAACTTTGTTTACTCACTAATTCTTATTTATGCTAAGAGAACTGGTTTGCCAGTTTTTGCCTGTTGCCAGGTTTCTCCTGATCCAGGTGGAACATGTCTAATTATTTAGAGTACCAATGTTTGCATGCACGTGCGTATTCAGATTCATTTTATATGCTTTGATTTAATGTTGGAGATGTGGGGGATGGGTTTTGCGCAGAAATATGAGCCATATACATACTAGTGTATTGTCTGTACTACCCGGCCTAAGCTGAAGTGTCTAAGGCTTACTGTGGTTGCCATGCTAGCAAACTACTTGTTAAGTAGCAGTGAAACTTTGGAAATTTCAATGTAAACTGCAGAAGGAGAACATTTGCCTTCAAACTAAAAGCTGGGTCTTTTGAAATGGAAACTGTGGGTGACTGCAGCAATCAGTTAGCAACCAAAGCAATCAGAAGGTGGTTTTTGGTGCAGCACCCTTTTTCTGATCGATTTAACCAGCAAGCAACTTCTCTCGTGACTGGTTGGGGAATACATATATTTGCCTAGCAACTGGAGGTTGTCAGCGGGTTGCAAATTGGTTGCTAGGACAGGCAATTTTAATAGAGCCTAAGATGTAGTTTTTCTGACAAACTGCTTCATGACCTCTGAGCTGTATGAGAAGAAGCTTAATTACACTTAATCTTCAGTCAGTTTTAACAATTTGGGTGATTATAGTCTGCACACACATGCACTCACACTCACACAGATAATATCATACTCTCTGCTCCACTTACTGTTTTCTTCTATCCATTTTGCAGGAGAAACCATGCGTATTGCCTCGTCGGAGTTTGCCGATGACCCGTGCTCCTCTGTGAAGCGTGGCACCATGGTGAGGGCTGCCCGCGCCCTGCTCTCTGCTGTCACTCGCTTGCTCATCCTTGCTGACATGGCTGATGTCATGAGGCTGCTGGCCCACCTTAAAATTGTAAGTGCAGTAAACACCCAACCAAGTATACTTCTTGGTTACGTTGTGATGGAGCTGTACTTAGAACTGCAACACTTTAAATATATATATGTGTAAAAAATACTGACTCTCCAAATCTGTACGTGGTTTTAAGACTTGTATGCAGAGTTTGCTCAAAGAAGGTCAGTAAACAAAAAAGACTTCATGTTGGTGTATAGTCCGTGTAGTCAGTGCAGACTTTTATAACAACCTCTGCACACATTTGCATTTAGATAAGGAAATGGAGGAGCATCCTGGAAACGGACATTATAGCATAGTGCTCTGGTGTGATGAACTACTCTCAGTGTAGTCATGTGAAGAACGTGAGCTGTTCATTCACTTTGACAGTAGCTCTGGGCTTTATAACTCGAGTTAATACAGTGTGCCAGAAAGAATGATATGTATTTGGTATAATCTGAATCAAACTCATGCCTGCATCCATCTGCAGTCACTCATTTTGTCCCTGTCTCACAAATGCACAAACACTAAAAATCCTTTTTTCCAGTCTCATTCTTCAGGCCCACATAGGGACTTAACTCAAGCCTGTATAAGCCCCACCATCAAAGGCCACTTAACATTATCTCTGTCTCTTCTCCCGTTTTCATTACATCTTCCGCAGCATTTTTAACAGGGATAAATGGGTTTATAGTTAGGATATATCAGCAAGATGGATTGACACTTACTGAAATTACACAACTACTAAAAACACATTAGATATTACAATTACAGAAAATAAATGTTTTAACTAATATTGATTATTTAAGACGTTGTCTACTGGTTTGTGCACAAAGTTTTTGAAAGACTGTGTGCGTATATGTGTGGCAGGTGGAAGAAGCCCTGGAGGGAGTAAAGAATGCTACCAATGAGCAGGATCTGGCCAACCGGTTCAAAGAGTTTGGGAAAGAGATGGTGAAGCTTAACTATGTGGCAGCCCGGAGACAGCAGGTACCTGGAATTCCAATGTCTCATGCTCTTTCAGAAAAATAACGTGTCTCTCTTGGATAAAAGGTCCTCCAAGTGTCTGCCGTTCTTCTTCTGTCTTGATAAACGAGGGAATGTCACAGTTGAAGCCTCAGCCTGTAAAATATTAGAAACTCGAACTCAACTCAAAGCTTTAATCAATCAGATTGCAAGCCTTGTGCAAACAAATGTTGCTATAATCTGACATCACTCTCTAGCAGATGTTAAGTGTTTGTTTCAGACAACCAGTTTAATCTGTTTTGCATTAAGGGCATTTGTCTCATTAGAGCCAGCTTTAATACATCCAATTTCTTTGTGCCATGGAGTAAAATTGAAAGATTGCATAGGATAGGATAAAAAAAATACAATGGCCAACACACATTGTTTAAAAATGTATTGTAAAATTCATCATTTTAAAGTCAGAAATATTACACACATTTCTTTTAGATTTTTGGTCATTAACATTTAACACTAGAATTCACAGCTGTTGTAAATAGGCCACATTTGTGTAGTCTCCTTTGTAATGTTTTAGCAAATTATAAATGGTGCGGATTATTAGTGTGTAGGATTTGTTTTAGCTGGGATGTAGAGTAAGCAAAATCTCTGCACCAGCGCTTATTTGATCCTGGAGAATTACACATCAAAGTGATTTTTAATATGGCCCCCAGTGTGACAAAAAGCTTATAGAGGATTTTTTCCTGCATGTGTCATGTTGGCAAGCGCCCATGCTGCCGAGGTGAACCAGAGCAAAACACTGAGGCTAATTCTGCCCAGCTCTATAGTTGCTGATCTGCTGACGCTGCCTTAACTTTGTGAAGTTGAAACAATACCAGTTCATCAGATTCAATTCATCAAATGGGACATGAACTTGTTTTTTAACAATATAGTTCTCCAACTGTGACCTGTTCCTCACACTGTTTTCAATTTCTCAAGCAATACTCCAGGGTTTTGCAAGTTACACTGTTATTATCGCTTGTCTGAAAAAACCCCCCAAAAAAACAAAAAACCTTTGCTATCTTCTCAGGAGCTGAAAGACCCCCAGTGCCGAGATGAGATGGCAGCTGCACGTGGGGCCCTTAAGAAAAATGCCACTATGCTGTATACGGCTTCTCAGGCCTTTCTGCGCCATCCAGACGTGGCAGCCACACGGGCCAATCGAGACTATGTGTTTAAACAGGTCCAGGAGGCCATAGGAGGCATCTCAAGTGCTGCACAGGCCACCTCACCCACTGACGAGAAGCATGGCCATGCTGGCATTGGAGAACTTGCTGCTGCCCTTAATGAATTTGATGTAAGTCAACAAGCATTTTTGTACTGCTTTAAAAATACAAGACTAAACCATACATATATATCACGTCTCTAGTACAGGACAAGGGTTCTGCATGATATGTTGATACAAAGAGTACTGCGTAATATAAAAAGTTGGGTGTTTATGTGGGCAACTTCTTACAGGTTATCACTGATGCTATGACTACATGGACAATAGTTATTGTATATTTTACCTTTCATTTTGACTATATTTTGACCTTTGGCTCTCAGACAACAAAAAACTCACTAGTATATTCTTTCTTTCAACATATAACTCAAAATAATAATAATCATGTACAGCGATGGTTAATCATCTTTATTCACATTATACACAATCATAGGCCCAATTATGGCCAGGAACCTCCATGAAAAGCATCATCTGCTGCCATCTAGTGGCCAGATGTTAACAGTGCTGTATTGCAGGATGGGCTTTTTGCATCAAGTCCTCCAGATGTTGAAAACTATCAGTCCTCTTTTTTTAAATTCCCTGAAACATGTTCTGACAAAAAATATTAACTGGGCTTGAAATCCAGGAAAAGTGAGTCACTAAGCCACTAAGGAATAGGTTAGAAGGACCCTTATTTAAGGATAAAAGTATTATTCAAGCTTGTGCCATGACCGATCAGGATCACACTGTCTTCACATGTAGATTTACTGAAAGGTATATTGCGGTACACAGTATTTAATAGATAACTTCAAGACATGAAATGTTGCAGTGTGTAACAAATTTATTAGCAAAGCCACCCAATGTAAGGTTTATGACACAGCTGCCTTAACTTAACAGTACTGGTAAATACCAAAATAATATTTTTAATGATTCTGTAACGGTTAAAAATAATATTTTTTATATTTTTTTGTATTTCTGAAGTCGAGTCCAGTGTTTTGACTCAAATTTGGATACAAACAAACATGAATTCAGTTTATTCTTTGCCATTAAACAAGCTTGGGACAGATTTCTGCATCAACATATGGTGAATTTAATATTTTTCAGTTTTCACTCACAGCTACAAAGGTCAGAGTAGAAAAGCGCAATGTTCCACTTACTGTGTACATACAGTTATGTTAATTAGACATAAATAAATCATATTTAAAAATTCCTTTCTTATCAATGAATGGGTTTTATTGCTGTCTGCATAAAATGTTTTATCATTGATTTAAGTAACTATAATCCTTGACAGTATCAGTCCCAAAAGCTGAAAGAATTAACTAACAAAATCTCTCTCAAATCTCTCAAATCTCACTTAATCTGCTTATCAAAAAACCCCATACAAACATTAAAAAGCCCTGCAGTCTATTACCTATTACCCAGTACACTAATGATACAACATTATACCTGATAATGTACGATTCTGCTCGACTGTATTTCTCTGTTTGGTGTTACTGAGCTGACACAACAAGTTAGTTACCTCACAGAAAATAATATTTTCATGATGAAAGAATATTTAGCTTTGGATTTGTTTTTAATATATTTATAGAAGAAACAAACTGTTAAAAAAAACTTTACAGCTTCACCCTTTAGGGGGCTAAGATATGCAACCTTATGTGTAATATTATTTAAATACAATTTAGACTTTAAGGATGACAATTTGGTTTGACTCTTCAGATTTACAATGGGAAGTGCAATAAACAATGGCCTTTTTAGATCCCACAACCTTGTTGTTTAAAAAAATTACATTAAAAAACTCTCTGTGTAAACTGTCTCCTTAAATGTGAGGAGATAAATCACAATAGACCATGTGGAATGAAAATGACATTGTTGAATGAAAAGTTGACTGTAATTATGCATTCTCTAATCTCGTTAGCCCCACTTTCATATATATTGTTTGATGTATTTTCAGGGAGATTGTGTTCCATGTAGGGCTTTGAGTAATCAGCATTTAACTCGGAGGAAATGATCTACTCTAGCTTACGTGTTTAAACCCACACTTACATGTTGAAGCTTTCTCTTCCAATTTGATTTATATTTCCAGCTCTTTTTTAACTCTTTGGCAGCTCAAGTTTCCACCCCTTCAAACAAACTGTGTGCGTTTGTGTGTGTGTTTCCACAGTAAATGAAATATAGTCCCCCAAGTGCCATTTTCAGTACTTTCTTTTGGCCCCAAATATTGCTAGTTTGCATTGTGTTAGTGACACCTTGTGGTAACAGTTGGGAATTAAAATTGCAATGCAGCAGCTTTGAAGAGAACTGAGGGTGAAACACAGACAGCTGAATATTAGAAAATAAAAGCTGTCTTGTGCTGAAGGATTAGACAGAGACCTATATTTTAGTTTCTTCTGAACTTCCTATCCTATTATTTTGCACAGGGCCATGGCCTAAAGTAATCATATTGACTCTGTTTTTATGTAAAACAGTAGGACTTTTTAGAACAGCAAAAGACGTGCATAATTCGATTCTATTCGGCAGGCAGACAGCCAGCAGTTAAATGAGACAAATTGCCCTTTGCTAGGCCCTCTGTGCCGCCCGAAGCTGGTGCATGTTTAATTCCTAACTTACAACAGAGACACAGACTATGGTAAGGTCCTCTCAGAATAGTAATGAAGTGATATACTAAGCTATGAGGCGAGATGCTTAAAGGGTTTTGCGTATGCACATGCAGCACATGTTTAGTGCGAATATATTTAATAACGGCTTGTGCTGAGCAGTAAAACACATGCACGCATACCCACAATACTGTATAGAATATTCAGTTTATATATTCTTCCAATGCAAAAGTAGCTGTACATCTTTTTTTGTACACAGTGATGAACATTCATTCCTGTCGGTGCGCATGTGTTTTTGCTTTCCGTGTTTTAATCAAATGCCATTGGATACTGCTGAGTTTCCTGATTTTATCTGTTTTGGAGAGATAGTCCCCGTCTTGACTCGCCATTGATCGGCTTCTAATCCTTTGACTCTTGTGCATTGGTTTGACACATGGATGGAAGAGCAGACTGTAGCACTGTCTGCTGTGACAGATATACGGTAAAATGTCTCTTTCCAGTGGGTGGGTTTTTGGAGGAAGGGCTGCAGTATAATGGTACTCATTTCGTTTCACTAATGGATATGAGTGACTACATATAGACAAGTTGTTCCCTCTACCAGAGAGATCATAATTTGGCCTAGACTATCAGCTTTGACTCATTGATTCTGTACTCGGTTACCGCAGTTTCCCACAGTCTCCTGACACTGACATTATGAAATAAAGGTAATTTGGTTGCACAAAAATGTAGATATATGACTAAAGGGTACAGTGATTTATATCAGTCTCACACTGACTTTTGTGTGGTCTCTATAACATTGCCTTTCATTTTGGTTAGAATGAAAGTAGAGTACCCTTCATCTCTGCCATCTTAATTTCAAGAATATGAAATTACCTATAAAAGAGGTGAGAGTATGGAGTACCTGCTGTGTGGGTAGTTATTCAAAAAAAGAAAAGAAAAGAAAAACAACTTGAAGACTCTATACATTTGTAACTTAAAAAAAAAACTAGCAAGGATGCCTCAACAAACCCTCAATATCTTTTGACACTGGTCTATAGCTGGAGTGAAAGGGCGGCTTAGGAATAAGACAGGAAAGAAGGAATGACCTCATTTATTCCTAGACACCTGGAATTACTGACACCTGGAATTAGTTTGAAATAAGTCAACACAGGACACAGACGTATAAGATCTATTTAGAGAGAAAAGGGAGGTCGGCGTTAGTTCACATTTACTCAGTTTCAGCATCTTTTGGCATACAACAAAGAGGTGACATTAGCTCCCTGTCTCCCTTTTACCTTTAAGAGCTCGCCATCAAGGACTTCCTCTAGAGCGTCTTTTGAAATACACTGAATGTCTTGGGAAGAGGTTTAATTTAAAGTACGCAAGTATGAATATAGCTTTCATGTTATTGACATTGAATGTTAACACCAGTTTTTGGTTTGGTATAGAAAATTAATATGCTGTGGAAATTCCCGTTGCTTCTAATGATAAATGTGTGATCCGGGATTTTTCCAGGCTCAATGATGGCAAAGAACTGATTGAACATTAGTGAAGTTAATTAAATTTAATGAAGGCTGCTAAAGAGATGTGCGTGTTTGTACTGGATTGACTATGACAGAGATAAACACAGTTAAGTTTAAGTGGAGCTGCTATCAACAATCTTCAAACGATAAATATCAAATAGTATTTACCGATTACCTCATACATCATATAAATGCCATCCAGCATGGACGATAACTCACGCCGAGCCTTGAAGTAAGTCGGCTAACGTTAGCAAGATTGACAACGCGTTCTGTTGTGATTTATGGCTAAAATACAGACGGGACCCTCTCTTTTAAATCACGTGACCTCATTTTTACTAATAATACGAGTTATGTTCTTAATTAGCCATCTGCTACCTCGGTCCATTATCTCTTCAATTTTCCACCGGCCCCAGCTGATTCCTTTTCTGCAATAATAGTCGACAGTGATAGATTTAACACCCTTAAAATAGTTTTTTTTTTTATTGCAGACATGGTCAGGCTTTGGGAAAGGCAGCACAGCGTTTAAGAGTGGCTACCTTTAAATTCGCTATGCAGGAAAAACCCTGTCATGTTGGAATGAAAGTCTTTATTCTGAGGATCTGAACTCAGCGGGAGGACAGATGGAGTTGAGGCCCTACGGGGAATGTGGGTAAAGACACACTGTAGCACACACATGCTTTGATTTTTAGGTCACAACCCACATACACAATGTAGCGATTCTATTAGACCTCAATATATGCCAAGGCAGTGTAGGTATGAATTCATTTTAGAAGATGTTCAGACGTGCTATGTCTTTTTATTCATGCTTCATGTAAGCTGTTATAGCACATGCACACATAGAAATGACTTCGTCTGTGGGGGGAAAACGGTCACTCGCTATGAGGATTTATGCACAGGGAGGAAACAGACTGTTGCACTCACCCAGTGTACATTTTAATAAGCAATCTCTTATTGTCTCTCGCTGCCTTTCTCCTACTCTGAGCCTCCTTATCTCTGTACA